TCTCTAACCCCTTTTATTTCCAAGCTTTAAAATCTTTATTTGTAATAATTTTGAAATGGTATACCTGTTCTTCCTCTTCAAGTTCGAGAGCAACCCCAGATCATTTATTAAATTACCTTTTATGTCATCTGACAGCGGGAAGCTCTGCTATCCTATATCATGCTCGCAGCAACTAATTAACTTGTTACTTAAGAAATTTTTAAAAATAGTTTAAAAATACGGATTACCTTAAAAAAAAAAACCGTATCAACTAGCATAACTATTTGGGAATAAGGGTGACCAATTCCGTTTTTAAGAATACCTCAAGGATACTTATGTGGTTACAGTATCTCCCTGTTGTCGGCAGGTGTTTTGCAAGACGTAATGCTTATTGTTTTGAAGCTGTTTTGTTACACACGGTTTAAAATGTATTTTCTTTAATTTGTAGAAGCTGCTTAAACTGATTTCGACTTCAAATGTAGGACATTGAAAATATATCTATTGGTTCCTATAAACATCCATTGCTTCCAGTTTTTTAACTTAGCTTTGGCTACATGAATAGGTTTAGACCGTGACACTTTTACAAAACCAATATATCAGGCTCCTGAAGGAATGTGATACCGTGGTAGATTTTATTTTCACCATGTTGTATTTCATGTCATGTTATGTTTTCGTCTATGGTCTTCCCATTTTGTCTGCTTCGTTTCGCAATTTTTTTATTTTTTTAATCATTTTCTATCAGCTTTTTTTTCCATTTTGTCTCTTTTTTTTTTTTTTTCCTTCATGGGGTAAAAGTAATGGCTTCACCCGGCCAACGGTTAAAAATTTTAATTTGGCCATTTTAGGAATAATTAAATACTTAGTTTCTTTCGGTCAAGGTAAATAAAAAAGTGACAAAACAATTTCATATATGTGCACGATCCTTCGCAGTAAAGCACTATTTGAGCAATAGTGAAAATCAGACCTGAAAAAAATTTCAGGCCTGTACGGGATTCGAACCACTGACCTCTGCGATACTAGTGCAGCGCTCTACCAATTGAGCTAACAAGCCAACTGGGAGCAGGCCATCAAATTAATTCGACATAAACCCGTAGATGATAAATCAAACAACAACAAACATATGAAACATATGTGTGAACTGCGGTTATGAGACGTATATGAGCACGATCCTTCGCAGTAAAGCACTATTTGAGCAATAGTGAAAATCAGACCTGAAAAAAATTTCAGGCCTGTACGGGATTCGAACCACTGACCTCTGCGATACTAGTGCAGCGCTCTACCAATTGAGCTAACAAGCCAACTGGGAGCAGGCCATCAAATTAATTCGACATAAACCCGTAGATGATAAATCAAACAACAACAAACATATGAAACATATGTGTGAACTGCGGTTATGAGACGTATATGAGCACGATCCTTCGCAGTAAAGCACTATTTGAGCAATAGTGAAAATCAGACCTGAAAAAAATTTCAGGCCTGTACGGGATTCGAACCACTGACCTCTGCGATACTAGTGCAGCGCTCTACCAATTGAGCTAACAAGCCAACTGGGAGCAGGCCATCAAATTAATTCGACATAAACCCGTAGATGATAAATCAAACAACAACAAACATATGAAACATATGTGTGAACTGCGGTTATGAGACGTATATGAGCACGATCCTTCGCAGTAAAGCACTATTTGAGCAATAGTGAAAATCAGACCTGAAAAAAATTTCAGGCCTGTACGGGATTCGAACCACTGACCTCTGCGATACTAGTGCAGCGCTCTACCAATTGAGCTAACAAGCCAACTGGGAGCAGGCCATCAAATTAATTCGACATAAACCCGTAGATGATAAATCAAACAACAACAAACATATGAAACATATGTGTGAACTGCGGTTATGAGACGTATATGAGCACGATCCTTCGCAGTAAAGCACTATTTGAGCAATAGTGAAAATCAGACCTGAAAAAAATTTCAGGCCTGTACGGGATTCGAACCACTGACCTCTGCGATACTAGTGCAGCGCTCTACCAATTGAGCTAACAAGCCAACTGGGAGCAGGCCATCAAATTAATTCGACATAAACCCGTAGATGATAAATCAAACAACAACAAACATATGAAACATATGTGTGAACTGCGGTTATGAGACGTATATGAGCACGATCCTTCGCAGTAAAGCACTATTTGAGCAATAGTGAAAATCAGACCTGAAAAAAATTTCAGGCCTGTACGGGATTCGAACCACTGACCTCTGCGATACTAGTGCAGCGCTCTACCAATTGAGCTAACAAGCCAACTGGGAGCAGGCCATCAAATTAATTCGACATAAACCCGTAGATGATAAATCAAACAACAACAAACATATGAAACATATGTGTGAACTGCGGTTATGAGACGTATATGAGAACGATCCTTCGCAGTAAAGCACTATTTGAGCAATAGTGAAAATCAGACCTGAAAAAAATTTCAGGCCTGTACGGGATTCGAACCACTGACCTCTGCGATACTAGTGCAGCGCTCTACCAATTGAGCTAACAAGCCAACTGGGAGCAGGCCATCAAATTAATTCGA